CTCACTCTAAGACAAGCCAGCTGTTACATGAGTTCCACATGTGTTGAGATGCCATGCTGTGAGGAAGCCCAAGCTCGCCAGGCAGAGGCCACAGCACTGGTGGAGCTGCTGAGCCAGCTCATTTCTTCCAGCTGTGGAGTGGAGGCAGCAGATGTGCGAATGAAGAAGCCACCTTAGGCATGCAGTCAGACTAACTACTGTCTGACTGCAGTCACACAAGAGGTCTCAAGCAGGAACCCCCAGCTGAGCCCAGCTAACCTCAGAAAGTGAGAGGTAAGGAATTGTTGTCTTAAGCTGCTAAGTTTCAGGGTAATTTGTTGTGCAAGTAATAACCGAAACATAGGATGATTTTGATTTTTCATTTTCCTGGAGGCTTGTTGAGTAAATGAGTGTAGAATTCCATGGGACATCTGAGACAAACTCACAGATCCATATTAGAATGGGTTTCACATGATTTGCAGCCTCTTGTCAAAAGCACATCGTTTTGAGAAAGGCATTTCAAGGGGGCACTGGGAAGGAATGACTGATGAATCAATACTGGAATAGGAAGTGGGAAGAAGCAGCCAGGCATGGTGCTACATGCCTATAATTGCAGCCCTCTGGGAGGCTGAGGCTGGAGGTTCACCAAGTTTGAAGCCAGCCCAGGCAATTTAGCTACTTAGTGAGACCATGCCTCAAAATACAACAGAAAAAAGAGCTGGGAACATTCCCAGCATGGTGGGTGGGGGGGACACTTTCCACTTTCAGGCTTTATTTTGCTACTTATAAATGTCATTGCACAAGTTACAACTTTTTAGAGAATTAATTTTGATGTTCTCAGTGTGGTTTGTTTTGTTTTTGCAGTACTGGAGAGCAAATCCATATATATATGTATATATCTATATATGTACATATATAGATATATACATATGAAATAAGCTTGGGCTTCTTCACAACATGGCATTTCATATATATATATATATATACACACACATATATATGAAATTATACACAGGCATTTCTGGGATAGTTTACAGGATCACAGGTGGGGAAGTCCATTGTGGCTGTCTGCCTGCTAGAGAGCCAAATGATTCAGTAGCTGCTCAGGCCAAGAAGCTGGAAGCTATAGAATAAGAGAGATTCAGAATGCAGCACCAGTCCAAATCTGAAGGCCTAGAAGCTCCCTGGAGTGTTGCCAGTGTGAGTCTGAAATGAAAAGCTGAAGAAACTGGAGTCTGATGTCCAGTCCACAGGCGATGGCAATAGCAAAAGACATGGAAAGAATGGGGCTTTCCACATGCAGACTGACCTCCTCCTTCTTTCCCTTTCATTCCATCTGGGCTGCAGGCCTATTGGACGGTACCATCCACAATGGGCAGATCTTTTCCCCCTCTATTTGCCAGCCTACATATCAATCATCTTTGGTAACACCCACAAGCATACTCAGAAGTGCGTACTACCAATCTTCTAGGTGTTTCTTAATCTGCACAAACTGCTAGTCAGGACTGATGGTCACACACGGCCCAGATTCATTACCCAGGCTGGCCTCAAACCTGTGGTTTTCCCATCTCTGGCTGCTGAGTAGCTGCAATTACAAGTATGCACCACGGCTGTCAGCTTCTTTGTGGCTTAACCTGTGGGCAATTTGAACTACTCCATTAGCTATCTTTTTAAATTATAGTCTGGTTTGTTGAGATACAATTTACATATAATAAAATTGTATCTTTTTAGGTATTTAGATCTATGAGTTTCCTTCCTTCGTTCCCTCCCTCCTTCCTTCCTTTCTTCCTTCCCTGCCCTCTTACCCTCTCCTTTCAACCCAGGGCCTTCTACATGCTAGGCAAGCACTCTACCACTGAGCTACGCCTCCAGCCTTCAATTTTTCTTTATGTGTACCCTAAGGCTATACAGAGTTGTGACTAACTAAACAAGCCAGTAAGTGAAGATGATAGTATTTAAAGCATTATCCAAGAACCACCTGCCTCAGAATCACCTTGGGTGCTTGTCAGATTCTCAGATTCAGATCTAATAAGTTAGAGTGTATAAACTCCTCGGTAGTATGTATTACCACATACCTCTCTCCCTGACTTTTATGCATGACTAAAGTCAAAAACTGTCAGGGATTCCAGGATGAATAAGATCAGCACAGTTAGAACAGTAGCACACAGCTGTAATCCCAGCTAGGAAGGCTGAGGCAAGAGAACTGTGAGTTCCAGGCCAGCCTGGATAAATAGTAAGACCCTATCTTAACCAAAGAAAATGTTTTAGATGGTCCTGAGTTTGAATGAGGCTGTGCCATTTACTGGATGTATTAAATTGGGCAAATGATTTCATTTCTCTGCATAATTTTTTGTACTTGGAAATAGTATATTCACCTGAGCATCTATTTTACGCTAGGTATAGTTCTAGAAACTAGGATTACAGCAGCAAATGAAACAAAGGCCAGGCATTCATAGAGCACACATTTGTTAGAGGAAGACAGACAGTAAGCAATGTATGAGGTAATTTTAGATAGTAATAAATACTCTATGGAAAATTAAGCAAGGTTTCAGTATAGAAGTAACCTGTGTTAAGGCATGATCCAGGCTACCTCTAACAAAGTGACTCCAAGTACAGTTAGACAATGTAGCTTGCACATCTTTTGTAAACTGTCTAGAGTGAGGGGCAGACACAGATGGCTCTGTTATCCTTACCTCTGTGATCTTTCATTGATCTCTAGGGGCTTCAGCTCCTAGCATCTTGTCTGTATTCCAGATAGGAACAAGAAAGACAAAAACTTTGTATGGAATGTGTGCCCATTTTTAAAGCGCACATTGCTTCTGTTCACACTCTGTGGATCAGAGCCTTGGCCAGTGGCCCACCTATCTCTGAGAGAGGCTGGGAAATCTAGCCTCTACTTCTATGGCCATGTGTTCAACTAAAACTCCAGAGGGACGGGAAAATGGATATGGGGGAATAGCAGCAATTTCTTCCGGTGGGGCAGGATGCCTCTGTAAGCAGGGTAGTGGAAGGAGCCCTTTTAGAATATGACAGTTAAATAAGCCAGGTGGTAGAGCAGAATTTCACCTCTCCCTTGTGAGCCTCCGCCTGTGTACCCTCATGCAGCACACACACAAATCACAGCGCCTGCACTGCCTTAGAGTGAATGAGGAACAAGATAATTGGGAAGGATCTTACCCTGTGAAACTGAGGTGGAAGTTTCGGGCTCCTTTGATAAGAGTTTGGCTTTATCTTTCTTATTGTTGTTCCATGTGAAGGATATTAAGAAATTGGAAGGACTGAAGATGTAGTTCAGTGGTAGAATGCTTGCCTAGCATGTGTGAGGCCCTGGATTCAGTCCCCAGCATCGGAAAAAATGGAAGGAATATGTAGTAGCAACATTGAGACTGCTTATTATACTCAAGAATGGATTTCCCACTGAAATGATTTCAAGAAAATTATATCTTACTAATATTTTAGCTCTTCATCTAGTGGTTTTCTATATGTATAAATTAACCCTATAGTCATTTAGTAGGCATGCTTCCATCAACACATTTGTGATTCATATACTTTTCTGTATTTAATTTACAGGAGAACTCTGGTTTGGACTAATGTGATCTAGCCCGCAGCAGACCACACCGAATCAGAACATAGTTACAGTACTTGTGCTAAGTATCAAACTAAATTTTGAAAAGGGCCAGTGTTCCAAAAACAGGAGCCCCACAGTAACTCATCAGAATGGCCCTTGCTTACCTGAGCCAGCATCAGAAGAAGTCCTCTTGGTGCTAACCCTTTAAGGAAAGAAAATGAAAAGATCTGCTTCCTGTTCTGTTTCTTCTTTCTTTCCCCCTTTTCTGACTCAAAGCTAACTGCCTCTGCTCAGCGCATGGAATATTCATTGTATTTTACACAATAAGTTGTTGCCTGATTCTAGAAGCACAAGTAAAAGCAACGAGATCTTTAAGCTAATTTGTTGTAATTTTGTTTTTTTGACAAAGTCGTACTACAATTTGTTTTTTTCGAAAGTTTATTTTAGAGCCGCTGGTGGTGGTGGTGCATAACTGTCATCCCAAAGACTAGGGAGGCTGAGCCAGAAGGATCAGAAGTGTGAGTCCAGCCTGGGCTCAAATTTAATGAGCCCCTGTCTCAAAGTGAAAAGAACTGGGGATGTAGCTCAGTGGTAGAGCACCCGAGTTCAATCCCCAGCACTACAATATATAGTTTGTTTTACAAAATAAAACGAAGTGAACATCCCCAGTGCTGTGTATAGCATTCAGTCACAATGTATTGTTAGGGTTAGCTCTGCACTTTCAGCACCGAAGGAATTCACTTGCCAACCTTGATGCTTTTTGGGGTGCACAGAGAAAACGTTGACTGCAACGTTAGGTTGCCAGTATGGAGCTCTGGGCCGGAGGTTCGTCTGCCGAGGTACTCCCCAGGTTTGCTGGAGCGCACGCTGGGGCTAGGGACGCCCCGTCTCTTCTGGGCCACTGCCCACCGTCTCCTGAAAGGGCAGGAAGAAGCCACACTTTTCTCTTGCATCCTTTTATCTTTAAGGCCATTTTTGAGATATGTCTCGTGTTTTGGCGCTCCACGCAGAACATGGCCCCTCTTTATTCTAATTATCCTGTTCTAATGGTCGCGCTGGCAGCACCATTAGAACCAGGCAGCACCATTAGTACCAGGCAGCACGCCCTATGGTAAAGGGTTCCTCTTTGTGGCCACGGATCGTCTTGAGATTATTAAGAACGTTGTGGATCCTCCCGCACCCCAAGCAGCGCGCGGAAGATCAGTTCTCTCACAGGCCCCACCGACAGGTGTGGTTGTTTTGTTCTTGTTTTTTAAAATCACTGATCTCTCCCTCTACCTCGCCTGTCCCGTCCTCCTCCCGCCTCACCCAGAGGCCCTTTGCGGAACTCAGACTCGGACCCACCGCCCGGACTGCAGTCCCTGCTATTGCCGACAGCTGGCTTGGGCGGCCGCCGACAGGCCCGGAACACAGTTACGGACCTCTGTTGCCCACCGGAATTCAAAGGAAAGGAACGCACCAGGCCCGGAAACGGAAAGGAAAGCAAAGCAGGGGACGTGTTTGGCAGAGGGACGCGCTCAGCCGGTTGCCCTTAGTTTCCCCGCGATGTTCCGGAGGGTCTCGGCGCTGCTGCCTCTTCGCCCGCCGTCCCGCGTCCCTTTGCCCTCCGGAAGCCCGCAGGCGTCCGCGGCTGCAGTTTTGCCTCTCGCTGCTGCTCCTGGAACGGTCAGGTACACGTTTTAGAGCTGTTGGCCTCGCAGTTCTTCAGGCTGCCCATTCCCTCCTCCCGACATTGAGCCACAGTTCGCGGGCTCTCTCGGGTCGATGTTATAACCTGAACACCCTTAGAAGCCTTTGCTTTAAATGTAAGGAGAGAGATCGTAGATACAGTAGCACGCCCAGGGTCAGAGTGTGCGTGGCAAACCGTCACGATGACAAGTCTGGTCTGTCCTCAGCGTTCTCCGTGGCGTGCCGCGTCTCACCCCGCTTTCCCACTTTTTTCTCTGAACTCCAGAAATCAAGTGGGGATTTTTTTGTTTGTTTGTTTATTTATTTGTGTTTGCGTCCCAAGACTTTGTTCCTGGTCTCTTTCATGTTTTCCTTAATTCATTACTGAAAGACCTTCCGGTCTGTCGGTACTAGTGTTAAGTCCAAAGGAAGCCGAGCAGGTCATGAAGGAGCTGAGATGGTGCAGGTGGCGCAGAGTGCTGCGTTCAGTCAACGGGTTCCTGCCGAGAGAGCGCGGGGACGTCTCACCTTTGCAGGAGCGGTTCGGGATGCTCTTTCTGCAAGAGATGTGTGGTGAATCGCTGAGGACCCCTGTGGGGTTCGCCATGAAAGAAATGGTTGCGTACTTGTTTGGATATTTTTCCTGTAAGCACTCCATGATTGTGAAAACCTAAAAACCACTGCTGATACCCATCCAGAACTGTTCGGGACCAGTTCGGTTTAATACAGTGCTGACGCAAGTTAGCAAGAACCGTGGGAAAGATGAGCCGGATGGAGGCAGAAACTGCACACACAGGCAGAATTAATGTGACAGGCCCGGTGTGGTGGTGCACGCCTGTCACCTCAGCACATGGGAGGCCGAGGCAGAAAGATCGCTGCAAGTTTGAGGCCAGCCTGAACTACATAGCGAGACCCTGTCTCAGAAATAATAATAATGCGACATACGGTAATAGTAGAGTGGAGGATTAGAGTGTCATGAATGTTAAACAAAGAATGGGGAGCAGGTTTGAGAAAGCTTTTTAAGTATATCGTAGGTTTTAGATTCAAAAGAGTGTTTTGGTAGGAAGCCAGTCAGTACAGAGAGTGAAAAATGGAAAGTCAGTCTGAGGGGAGAGGTCCAGAATATGGTTTTGGATGCACTGCATTTGAGGTGGTGATCGGATGTTCTCAGTGAAAACAAGCTCAGGGTGTGAGAAAATGCACCCGGAGTACTTTGCACAGGCCAGACACCTAATATATGCTAATACGTGGCACATTGTTGCTGTTACGGCTGTTAATAATAAAGGCAAATAGAAAGGACTTGAATTTTTAAAAATGTGAAGTGCAGAAGCAATGTTTGAATTTTTGCTTTACTGTTTTACATTCTACATACACCCTTTCTTCTTTCATACATCTTTCCAGGACAAAAAATATCCAAAGATATTTTGGTACCAGCAACGTGATCAATAGCAAGGAAGATGAGAAATCTTGTCCAACTGATAAGATTTCCAGAGAGCCTTCGGAGAGCCAAGACTCTGTAAGTGAGCATAAGAAGAAAGACTTACTAAACATTATTAAAGGCATGAAAGTTGAGTTAAGTACCGTAAACGTACAAACAACAAAGCCACCCAGCAGAAAAGCACGTCAAAGTGTAGAGGCTGTAATGGGAAGGCGCCGAAGAGCTGCAAGAGATGAGCCAGAGAAGCGGTAAGTTTAATGGCAATTTGAATGTTCTTTGAAACTAACTCTTGAGACTCCAGTGAGACTTTTCTCCTTGTAAAAAACATTTTTAATTAGAGTACGTGAGAGGTAGTGAATTAAAGAAGAATAAATATCGGCTTATAAATACGGGGACCCTAATAATTACTTGAGGAATGCTATTACTGTTTTATATTTGAGTAATAAGAGAATATTTCTATACAATCTAAAGAAAGGAAAGGAATAGTTATCCGAGGAGTGCACACAACCTCTTACGTGAATGTTATTGACTGCTTTTTAAGCTGTTACCAAGATGTATCTGATATATCTTGTGGTTTTCTGTTTGTTTTGTTTTGAGACGGTCTTACTAGGTAGTGCAGGCTGGCCTCAAACTCAACTCATGGAGATCCTCCTGCCTCAGCCTCCCAAGTGCTAGGGATTACAGGTATGCGCCATCAGGTATGCACCCAGCCAGTACATCACACCTTGTTCTAAAGGTCACATCGTGTCTATAAAGGACTTCCTTGAAATTTTCTATTTAAAAATTCGGCTAGGGCCTGTAATCCCAGCACTCGGGAGGCTGAGGCAGGAGGATCATTGAGAGTTCGAGACCAACCTGGGCTACCAGGTGAGCTCAAGGCCAGCCTGAACTGTGTAGCGAGACCCTGTCTCAAAAAGACAAAAAAATAAATAAAGTAACATAAAAAAAATAAAAAACCAAAAATTCTTCTGGGATAGTTTTGCATGTTGATTATAACTGTCTTATCTAGCTCCTTTTGACCAGAAATTAATGTTCTCAGCTTATTTATGTGGTTTCCCCAGTGTATTATTACTTGTGCTTATCTAAAGTACTATATTTAATTGATTCTAAGTACAGTGATATCTTAACATTGTGTTACAGTTTAAATGGCAGTCTTATTTTAATGGTACATGAAATAAGGATTCATTTTATAGTGATGGTGTCATCACTTAAATGATGTGGTGGTTTGTGGCCTTAGGATACCTATCATGCACTTACCAGAACAAACAATAAAAGATTCCTGTGTCCCAGAATGACATACTGCTTGTATAAGACTGCTCAGTTTCTGATTACATCTGAAGTGCCTCTGGGCTGGTACACACCTATAATCTCAGCACTAGGGAGGCTGAGGCAGTAGGATATTGAGTTTTAAGAACAGTCTGAGTTACATAGCTGTCTTTTTTTTTTTTTTTGTCTTTTTGAGATAAGGTCTCATTATACAGTTCTGGCTGGCTTTGAGCTCACTTTGTAGCCCAGGCTGGTCTCGAACTCACAACGATCCTCCTGCCTCAGCCTCCTGAGTGCTGGGATTATAGGCGTGCACCACCACGCCCAGCCTAGCTGGGTTAAAAAACACTACAAAACAAAGGTACCTCTAGAAAGTCTAATTAGATGCTAGGCAATAACTTAGTTCAAACAGTGAATGTCCAGAATAGGTGTCCTCTTCCTCTTTTTTTTTTTTGTTTTTGTACTGGGAATCAAATTCAGGACCTTGCACTCCCCAGGCAGGTGCTCGCACTACTGAGCTATATTTCCGGCCCTCTTTTTCCTTTAGAAACAAAAGAGTTGTATATAAGTACATAGAAATAAATGGCACACATATATAAATGCTTACTAAGAATGACTTTTTAGTCAGAGGCAGGAGATTGAAATTATAAATACTGGCAGATGCATTGTGGATATAATATTTATAAGCACTTGCCTAGCGTACTGGAGCCCCTGCATTTGATCCCCAATACTGCACAAGAGAAGATTCCAAGGCTTACCTGTTACAGTGGTTCTGCATTTACTGAAGAGGCTTTAGTCGTATCAAAAGAGTGGTGAATGAGGTACATTTGCATTGAGTTTTATAAAAAGCCTCTTTAAGTGAACCCTTCACCTTAAAAGGAATCCCGGGTGCACAGAACTGGGTGAGCCTGAGCTATGTAGTAAATTCAAGGCCAGCCTGAATTACAGAATGAGACCCTGTCTCAAAACAAACAAAAAATTTGTTTTCAATGTGTATAGATTCTGTGGGTTAGCACTAGTTGGAGTACAGCAGAGAGGACAGTTACTCCTCCGTGATGTCTGAGGCTTCACTTGCAGGACTTAGAGGTCTCAGGGCTGGGATCAGTGAGTTTGCTCCTCACAGGTCTAGCAGTTGATGCTGACGCTCATTGGACCACAGCTGAAGTGACGAGCACTAACACCCGTGTGTGGCTTCTCTACTGGCCTTGGCTCAAGAGAAAGTGAACCAAGTTGATTGATTGTATTTTTTTTTAATGACCTAGCCTTGGAATCAGGCTGAACATTGCTACCCTCATTTTGCTCCACATTCATTTTTTTACAGGGTACTTTTTTTCTTAATCATAGCAACTGCTTAAAAAAATCTGATCCAAAATATCATAGAAAGGAATATAGGTATATAATTTTAAAGCTGTGACCCATCCATGGATATTCACTAGGCCTGATTCTAAGTGGGGATCTGGAATCACCTAAAGTCAATGACAGAAGTTCCTTCACAATTTTTGTCAGAACATTTCAAAGTATAAATCAAGGTCCTAAGGGCTCTCACTATAAAGGAAACAATTGTTATAAAATGCATGGTTCTTGGCGGGCATGGTGGGGCACGCCTGTAATCCCAGCACTCAGGAAGCTAAGGTGGGATGATCTCTTGAGTTCAAGACCTCCAGCGTGGACTACATAGTAAGTTCAAGGCCAGCCTGAGCTACATAGCAAGACCCTGTCTCAAAAAGCAAAGAAAAAGAACGCATGGTTCTAGAAAGTGAATACTCATCAATATTTTTTGCGTTGTGTATTTTGTTCAAATACATAAATTACAATTTGAAAATGAAGTTAACAAATATCAATGAAAGAAATATAGTAATAGTGTGAGGCTTAAGTGTTATTCACAGATCAGTTTTAAAAATAGCACATTTCCTTTCTTCATTTTTCTGCTGTTACTGCCAGATCTTTTATATCTTGATAAAGTCCTTAAAATCTGTCTGACAATTGCAGGAATTTGGAATCTTTAATTTGCATGCTAAATAGCAGATGATACGGAAAACCAGATAATAAGACATTAATTTAGATCCCACTTATTAGGATGGAAAGTCTCAGTAAAAAAATACGGTAAGTTATTTTTTCTCTTAACTCAGGAGTACTTTCATGCACGATGGGTAAATGCTCTACTACAGTTACGCGCAAGAGTGGTAGCTTTTAAACTTTCTCTTACGGGAAATTTAAACCTATCCAAAGTACACAAAATTATGTGAACCCCTGTGTACCTGTGGCCCAGATTCAGTAGTGATCAGCTTTTTACCCTTGTTGTGTTAGCAGTGCCTTTTCTATCTCCTGAGTGATCCTGGTGGTTTGTGGCTTTCCTTTTCCAGGCAAAATGTATATATATTGAAATACACAAATCCAAAGTGTAGAATTTTGACCAATGGATACATGCATGTAACCCACACATTCACCGAGATGCAGAAAGTTTCCCGTTGTCATCCTGTCAGTACCTTCTGTCCTGGGCAATTACCGTTCTAACATTTTCTCATCACAGATAGTTTCTCCTGTTTTGAACTGGATATATGTGAAGCCATGCAGAATTTACTCTTGTGACCAGTTTTTCACTTGTCCTTCTATCTGTGTGAGACCTTTATCACGTTGGTGCAAGCCAAGTGCTATTCCATTGTACGTGTGTCACAATTTAGTCACTTGCCTGATAGACTGGCCTTTGACTTGTATCCAGTTTTGGGCCATTATGAGTAAAGCTTCTGTGGCAGATTTAGCCACTTTTAAGTGTGCTTACAGTATATATGTTTTCTAAATAAAAATGGCATCTGTTTTTAAAATATTAATTTGTAGTTTTTGAGGTTTGATTCAGTATTATACTTCAGCCAGTGCCCATCAACCCAGTTAAGTGTTTAGTGTTTCAATTTTATATAAAACCAGTGTCTAATATTTGAGGAGGCTTGCTTTTGTTGGAAGTTGAGAGATACTTTTTGGGAGAGAGAGAGAGAGGGTGTGTGTACGCGCTGAGTATTAAACCCAGGGCCTGATGCATTCTAAGCAGGTGCTCCACCACTGAGCTGAGCCCTAAGCTCTCAATACTTTTATGAATGACAAGTTCCCTTTCCCAAATCACTTAACTTTTCACTAAGCTGGTGGCATAATAAGCAATCCCCGCCTTTCTTTCTCATTTCCTCTTTCAGAAATGAGCCCCTGAGCCCTGCCTTGGAGGCGGCTGTGTCTGCTGTTGCAGCTTCTCTCCCCTTTGACAAGCAGGTGACCAAATCCGATCTGCTCAGGCAGCTGCAGCAGCACGAGCAAAGCTCAGTGTCCCAGAAGGAGGGAGAGAAACGTAAAATCAGGTCAGTGCACCAGGTAACGTTAGAAGTACGTCATTGTGTGCTCAGATATCTCAAGTAGGCTGTTTTCATGTGTCTGATGAATAATACGCAAACATCAAATAGAATTTTAGCAATTGGGTTTTTTGAAAAGCAAGTGTATGCTAATAAAAAATAAAATTTAAAAATAAAAATGCTATTCCAGGTGTAGTGGCGCATGCCTGTAATCCCATCACTTGGGAGGCTGAGGCAGGAGGAGCATTGTGAGTTTGAGGTCAGCCTGGGCTACAAAGTGAGCTCAAGACCAGCCTGAACTGCGTAGTGAGACCCTGTCTCAAAAAGACGAAAAAAAAAAACCTTAAAAAATAAATAAAATAAAAATACTATTAAAATGTCTTAAGTGAGATTGCAGTTTTTTTAAAAAAAAACAGTTGAATGGTTAAATTTTTCTTCTAGGAAGTCAAAATTTCTTGCTCTTGAAGAAATGGTAAATTCACTAATATTATTTAATTAGGTAAATAAAAAACTAATTTCTGTGAGAATAAATTTTTCCTTGGTTAAGTCAATGCTGGTTTTCTGCATAGTGTAATAATCTTCAAACATATTTCCTTCCCTTCCACTTAAATTTGAGCTGAACTTTTTCTACTTAACCCTTTCATCTCTTGTTACTTTACGCCAAATTTTACTGCTGTCTGCCCAAAGCTAGTAAGTGGCCCCGCTTCCTTTTGTTGGGTTTTTTTTTGTTCTTTGTTTTTTGGTTTTTTAGGGTGTTTGTTTTTTTTTTCCAGTACCGGGAATCAAACTCACGACCTTATGCTTACCAGGCAGGCACTGTGCCACTGAGCTAAATCCCCAGCCCCTTTGTTTTTTGTTTTGAGACAGGGTTTCACTGTGCAGTTCAGGCTGGCCTTGAACTCTCTTTGTAGCCCAGGCTGGCCTCAAACTCACAGCGATCCTCCTGCTTCAGCCGACCAAGTGCTGGGATTACAAGCATGTGCCACCACGCCTGCTTGGTGATACTGCTTCACTTTGGAAAGTGATTTAAATCAGCTGTTCATAGTGAACATGTGTACCAGCATTGTATCAGGAGGTTAAAAGAAAAATGCAGGTATCTGGACTCTGAGTCAGCTAATTTGTTCTGCTTGAATTTGAACAAATACAACACATAAATACAGCTAAGTTTCTATTTTAACTTAGTTATTGATATGGTAGACACAGATACTCATAGTATTTTCCTATTCTGAATATTAATAATTTTTATATAATTGACACTTTTATGTTTTAAATGAAAAAAATTTTTTTTGTTGTTTTTTTTCTGGTACTGGGAATTGAACTCATGACCTCACGCTTGCCAGGCAGGTGCTGTGCCACTGAGCTAAATCCCAAGCCCCCCCAAAAAATAATTTTTTTTGAGATAAGAGTCTCACTGTGTAGCCCAAGCTGGCGTTGAACTCACTACATAGCATAGCTGGCCTTGAACACACGACAATCCTCCTGCTCAGCCTCCTGAGTTGCAGAACATCTTTAAAAGATAGAAATAAACATAAATCTCAGCCAAGTGTGGTGGCACACACCTGTAATCCCAGTACTTGGGAGGCTGAGGCAAGAGGACAGCAAGTTGGTGACCAGCCTGGGCTGCATATCCCTCACCATCTCACACCCTGTCTCAACACCCACCCTCAAAACTAAGCCCAAATCCTGAGGGTCTGTGGTATGTGGCTATTAATGTAGGATATACTTTTTGTTTTGTTTTTTCTTTTTTCTTTATTTATTTCAATCAGATTTTATTGGCACATTTTAGATATGCATAATGATCACATTCATCATAGAGAATTTGTACCTGTACATAACTTGGTTTTTTTCCCATTCCCCCACCATCCCTTCAACCCTTCCTGCCCTTCCCATTTACAAAAGCTTTGTTTCCATGTTTTTCTTCTTTTTCTTTTTTACTTTTAGGACATACTTTTTATTTAAACATAGCTTTATACTGTATTAGTGCATAAAAGTGAAATAATTAAATGCAACGTCTCCTGTTTAAGAAAAGCTTACAGTGTTGTATGTCTGAGATGTCTAATTTATTTGACTTTTTTATTGTTCCAGTTTTAGTAACATCATATCAGATATGAAAGTTGCCAAATCGACTAGAACTAGAACATCAAGACCAGAGCATCAGATTCAGTTTGATGAAGGATTTAACAGTTCTCTAGAACAGGAGCTATCAGCTGATTTTAAAAAAAGGTATTCAGGCTTTGCTGTCTGTTGGGTTTTGTTTGTGTGATTTATTTTTATAGTAACAGTAAATTATTTTATTCCTTGTACATAATATTGCTGATAGGTATTGAGTGTTATGGATGCTTTATGTGTATCTTCTTACTCTAAATATTTTCTTTTTTTTATTTTAAAGAGAAAAAAAACAACAATAGGAAAATGCCAACAGCATAGACAAAAACAACAAAGCAAAAACAATAAGAATGATACAGGGTTTCAGAACAAAATGATAGGGATTAACAGTGGTTGTTACATTACATATTTTTATCTTCATCAAAGTTGGTCAGATTACCAAATGTAAGAATGCAAGATTGATCAAACCATTAAAGAGAATAAACAAAAAAACCAAAAGATTGTAAATGATACAGATGCTTTATTTTTTCTTTTGACCAGTTTTGCATGCTTATATCTGATCATCCGAACAACTAATGTGAAGACAACAATATGCAATATGGAACAGCCAGTGTTGAATTACTCTGTACTTTCTTTTTTTTTTTTTCCCCGGTACTGGGAATCCCAACTCACGACCTTGCGCTTGCCAGGCAGGTGCTGCTGTGCCGCTGAGCTAAATCCCCAGCCCCTACTCTGTACTTTCTAGAGAGGGAAAGATGTTCAGGGTTAGCACTTCCACAGTTCTCTCTACCGTAAGTCAGAGTGGGGCCTGCCTCACATCTACCCCTACCAAACTGGGGGGCTTTGATTGAGAATGAGTGAGGATGACTGAATTCTGAGCAAATGTACATTTACATCTCTATATCTGGTCTTCTATCATACCTTAGATAAATAAACTCACTCTAAAAAAAATCCATATACAATTGAAAGTTAGCCTATATTTACATAAAGTTCCTCTTCTTTAAACCCAGAAGGTTACAATTGGAGAGAAGGAACTAGCTATCTGGCATGCTCTGACAAAAACTAAGTTAGCTTTAATAGGAAGACTTACCTTTAATAGCAGGATGTGCTCACAGTTGGAATGTTTTCAGTGTGTTATGTATCCCATAAATGTTGTTTTAAGTAGAATCTCAGGAACTTGACCTAGCTCCTTCCTGGTATTAAATTACAGATTTGTACAGGAAGATCGGAAAAGGTAGTCAGCATTTAACACAGGAAGTTCAAGAGATTAACAATGACTCTGGATGATTATTTGAATTACCTAATTTAAAGTGACTTCGTGTCTGTAATAGATTATTAAATAAAGTAGAAAGTGTAGTTGGGGTTTTACTAAGAATAGTTAACTGAATCAGTCTTTCTAGGATGCCATGCAGCTGTTTCTGAACAGCATATTATAACTCGATGTTTAACAGCCACTAAAAATTAGAAAGCAGCAAGAGAGAAGCTTAACAAAATAGGAAAGGGATTTCTGTACAGCAGTATATTAAAAAGCCAAATAGAGAAGAAAACAGGGAAGCAGTTATTTACCCCGCTGTGATAAAACAAGAAAGCAGCAGGCAAGATTTAAGGTGGCCTGAGAAAACCCAGGCCTGGACGGATTCTTTCCTTTAGAGACTGAGTCCGGGAGCTCTTTCTTTACAGTCACACTGACCTGCTTCAGAGTCTTGGCACTGCCACTGACTAATTCTGTGACTGGGCAACTTTTACAGCCACCATCAATCGTCTCCCCATCTATAAAATGCTGAAAGTGAAATCCAGCTTTCTTGAGGAATAGAAAAAAGTACCAGCTCTCTAATATATAGTATGTGCTCAGCAAATGTTCATCCTCTTCCTTCTTAGTACATTCCTCTGACATTTTCACACTTTACCAAGGCATTCCGTCTTTACTATGAGTCACTTTTATCCATCATCCTGTTTAACTGACGTGCAGTGGAGAAGATGTTGGGTAGGGAAAGAGTGTGAGGCTCTGAGGTAGCTCTGGAGCGTAGAGGCCTTCGTTTTACAAGTACCACAGAGGAAAACTTAACAGGGCTTGAGATAATTTCCTCAAAGTTGAACATACTGTTTACATTTATTC